GTAACGTTCCGTTTTCTAGCATTAATCATTCAAGATTTTGTTGCCTGTCTCTTTTTAACGTATTGCTTACCCAATTCCGATGTCCTCGAATGTCAAATGGCAATGAGTTTTGTTAATCTAGTACAATTGTACTGGATCTAGTACATCCTAAAGGTAACAGGTACGCTAGAAACGAAACTCAGTACATTGTCCGCTATCGTCCAGTGTAATTAATATAATTTAAACTAGTAAAAGTACCGTAAAGACTTAATAAATCCTAAATAATTGATAATATTCCTAAGACAACCCAGAGATGAAACCGTTCTTAGTACATTTTTATGAATTCTGGTACAATAATTTATACCAATCTAGTACTAAACTAAAAAATATTCTGGCAATATCATATTGTCAATTGTCATTGTTTTCTGTTTCCTCCATCTTCATGATTCTCGTGACAGTCGTGACCTCGTGAAAGTGGTGCATTTTTAAATTGTACTTTATTTGATAAGATGTCTTTAAAAAAGGTAAAAATAGAATGTAACAAAATAATAAAGTATATTGAACCGAATTTGGTATTTTACAGATGTATTTCATTGTTGAATTTGAAAACCAGATGATGTCGGTCTGGCGGTTGTGAGGTGAGCAGAAAATGGCTGACGCTGCATAAAAAACAAGTCTTTTGGCCGCTTTTATAAAGAAATATATAAAGAAGACTGGTGAGTAATGTTATACTTTTATTTTTTGATAAGTTCTTTCAGGGTATTTTTTTAATAGTTTATTTAAAAATGAAAGATTTGTAGGGGGTCACTTGATTTAGATACCTTTTATCATCTCACAGGATATATGATTTTTTTTATTAACTTTTATTATAAACTCAGACTATATGTATAACTCTGAGGTAGTTTTTGGGGCTACTAACTCAATTTCCGGTGAAGTAATCCTCTCACAACTAGATACACAATTTACTTTCTATCTTTAAGAATTTTTAGTGGCCTGTATTTTAATAGTTCTTTTATTTTAGATGATACTGATAAGTGATGTACCAAATTAAAAAAAGTCGAAGTTACCTCAGATCTACATTCCGAGGCTGATAAAGTACCTACTAAAAGAAAACAGGTGCCAACTAGAAAGCTGTCATTCGATTAAACTGAAGATGATGAAATCGTAAAGCATACTCGCCCACCCCAATTAAAATTAAATTTACAATTTTAGGTATGTTGTGTCAGTTCCTCTAATATTCTTTTGTCATTTTATTCCTTTTGGTTTCTTGCTCAGGACTTTTTTATTTACCAGTGTAATTTATTTTTTATAATATATTTTTCATTAGTTTTTTCGATTAAATAAATAACTTTCATCTGCTTAGTATTTTTAATAATTCCATCCAACCTTGGGACACCTAATATAAAGTGACGTCTAGGTAGATTCGTGATAATGGTGTCAGTTTGCCTAGCCTAGGTCACCCGATATACACGTTACTTTAACGTGATATCGATTCATCAAAGTGACGATATGGAATGACTTCATTTCGCTGTGACATTCTCACGTTACCATAACGTTATTTTCACGTCATCAAATGACGTAACGCACACCAAAAAATCACGTTATAATGACGGCATGATGTTGCATGGGTAGTAAACATTTGCAATATATATACCCTTTATACCTATTATGAATAATGACTTTTTTAAAATTTAAACATTTTTGCAAGTATTGTTAAGTCCATAAGGGAGATAATGTAAAATGATGTAGAATGAATTTACATTAAAACATCTATAAAATGTTTCAGAGTAACTTTCTGGTAAAGTACCGTAAAAGTACTAGTGTGATGTTTTACGAGCTTCACTTTGTAACCTCTAATGTGTTATAAAAGTCTTGCCGTTGCGAACATTTGGTTTTTGCATGGATATTAGGGTTACAATAAAAGTACATTGCATGCGAGCTTAAAGAGCCTAAAAGTTAAGCTTATTAACGTAGATGGGATGTTTTTGAGCTAGCTCATAAGACCATTCGTCTTGAATATAGTACACCTTTTTTCTGTGTACAACCTACTAAAAAAAATTTTTGAACAATGACAATGATAAGCTGAATGCATTAAAAAAGCCTTAGATCCCATCGGATATTTTAAATTTTCCAGTCACTGGCAAACTACCAGGTACTCATGGCTTGTATATTCAAACGTATGGAGAAGCATTTTGCAAAGTATGTGTTCTACTTGACAAAAATGAAGGCGGTCGTGGTCAGCAAGAACTTGGAGCCTTAGTTAATAAACCGTTTACTAACTGGAAGAAAGCTTTAGAGAACTTTGATCACCATGCATATACTCGTACGAAATAACATAAATTCGCTATGGAGCAGGCAGCAAATTTTGTAAGAATCGTGGAAGACAAAGCGCTTGATATTACGAAGTTCGTCAATGTGGAAAAAATAAGAATTGCTGAGAACAGAAAAACAATTCTCTTGTGCGGAAGACAGCAAATTACCTTAAGAGCAATCCGTGGTTCTGGACAAAATGGAATAAACTCATTCATAATGATGACAATATTCGAGCACTTCTTCGTTTTCATATTCTATCTGGCGATGAAGTACTTAGTCATTTACTTACACAAACAATCCACAGTCCACAAATTCAGCAGATTTACTTACATGTTACTTACCAATAGGATGACTGGATATCTTCCACTCCGCATCTTATTTTCACGCATGGGACGCAATCAACATCTTGTGAGGTGGGATTTATGTCAATCCAAAGTTGGATGCCGACTAACTACAGTGAAGAAGGGGTGAGTCGTAGAAAAAGTTATGTTCTTAAGTGGGCGCCAGGAGTTTAACCTCACATCCAACAATCCATGTGACAGTTCACTACCAAACTCCAAAAAGGAAACTATAGCATCTCCTCTACAAGGCCATCAAGCGGCTACAAATCGAGTATGCTCCCCTTATATTATATCAGTTACTTTACCATAAAAATAGATGCTGACAGTTAGCAAGTGGGGATAAATAATAAGTTAAGTTCAATATATACCCAAGTTTAATAATATAAATATAAATCGTGTTGACATGGGGGGTCAACTTCGTTCACACTATGAAATAAACTAATATTCACCAGATTAATAACAACTAAATCACTTAGTACATTACTATCAGATTCCCAAACTATTAACAGTAATCCAGTATCACTGGGAGTAATATTTACAACTAAAACGCTATATTAAACTTAAAAATCATTAAATGGGACTAGGGGCAATCGTAAAAATGTAACACATGAGGTGTGTACTGTATTTAGCAAATAAACAAATAATAGTATACTATTTACGGACGCTAGGGGTCAAAACATGTAAAACTCGGGTTTAATAAAAATGTACTGTAAACCATACACCCCTAAACCTCGTTTACATTAGGTTTATATTAAAACACGTACTAATAACACCCCCCCAATAAAATAGATTAAATAGTAATAAGTAATATAAAAAAATAAGATAGCAAAACTTGCGGTACACCGTGACTTCTTCCCAACTGCTCTAGTAGACGGTTGATGTCCTACTTCGGCATACAAATCAACCTGCCTGGCGTAAAGGTTGGTAGCGCGTTAGACGATTACTAGCTGATCACAAGGAGTACTAGCTGGTCACAAGATGTGCTAGTCAGCCCGTCACAAGAAGTGTTGGCCCTTCACAAGAAATATCAGCCCGTCACAAGAAGTATTAGCCCGTCACAAGAAGTGTTGGCCTTTCATAAGGACTGATATCCCGTCACAAGAAGTGTGTGCCCGTCACAAGAACCCTAAAGAGAACGTATAAGATAAAACACAGCGATAACTATTTATCCCTGGTTATATAAAGAAGTTAAAATTAAATAACCAGGTACCTACATAGCCTTCTCGTGAAGCGAGGTCTAGAAATAGGTAATAACTACTCAACGTTCACTAGTTAATTAAAGTTCGGCTTATCAATTTATGTAGGTAATCTTAAGATTTACAAAGTAACATCAACAATTACATTTAATAAGCAAATTACACCCTTAGATTTCAAAATACTACCCCTTATAGTTCATCCCATATACTGAAAATATATACAACGAAAAGAACATAACCTAGGGTTAGGTCTAAGTAAGCATTCTAACTAAAATCAAAGCATATTTGCCCCTTTTTTTAATCCGCAAAGGAGGGACAAAACTATGCACCAGATCAGCTTGAACGGCAAATTCGTGACCGACTTATTCAGAGAGACTACATATATATGTGGGCACTGAAATAAAAGAACGAAGGTCTTACAAAAGAATAACTACGTCGTAACTTAAAATACTGTGTAGAAAAAACTTACCAATGAGATTCAACACGTGGTTAAATATATCCTCCTAAGAGCTCCTACAACATGTGTTCACAAAAAAAAAAAATACTACCAAATCCACACTGTTGTAACTTAAAACAAAAAGGTTGCTTCGCAATATTCCAAATGGATTGAAACGACTTCCAATAAATTTTGGAACAGTACCTTCCAAATCAAAACCTCGTGCCGAATATCAATCTCGAAAAATCCAGAAGGGCGGAACAACGTCATTTGACATCTCCCAAACCAGTAATACCAACATACCTTAGTGAAAAATAGGTGTCTCATCAGCGTCCTCTATTACGAAATAAATTCTTGATAGAAAGGGCTAAAATAACCAAACAAACCTCCAAAACCAAATAAATAGCCAACTAAACTCAAATAGAGGTCTTATATCTACCCCAAACTGATCATATACCCACAATTAACGTCAGAGCGGAAACGCTAGACCGACATCTTGAATACAGGGCAGCCTGTTCACCCAGAGTGTCGCAGAGGGACTCCTCTGTTCGAATATCGATCCCAAAAGCACAGTGGTTAAAATGCGGGTATAGAAGGACCCATTAAATAATTACTGAACACGGATTTATGAAAAATTGCTATAAGGCCAAATTTAAACATTACAAAAAGTTATAAATACATCCCCAGTTTTTAGGGTGTCATGGTATTGTTTATTGTATATATAAAAAATCGCAGTTCACAAATAAACTAAAATTTTATTAGAATTAATCAGTCATGTACAAGGATATACAATCAATTATTCAAGCGACATTTTTGTAATCTGATACATTCTTTTGACATAAACCAGATGTATGCGTATATCATTATATCCATTTATTTCTATTATTTACAAAATGATTTTGTAATTTACTCGCAAGTACACTTATTTTTAATATCCTTATCCTTTTCTTTATTTTTTTTCTTTTCACATACTTTTTCTACCTTAAACCTCGTCTCTCGCATTTTAATCATGAATATTTCATCTTTAGACAGTTTGCTCAAATCACGACACCTACAAAAATATTTTATTTTACTATAATATTTGGAGGTGAGAAATGCTTATGCAAAATATGAGTACTGCATTCTGATTGGTGAATCTGTTAACATGCCCACCTTAAGAGCAAACCAGACAGCTATCCTTCTCGTTAAGGATTTTCGAATACAAGATTGATTTTATATGCGCGCTACTGGGAATACTTCGCGATATTATGTTGCTCGAGAATATTGAGAGCTTTAAATTTTGACAATGATAAGGCAGCCCTACAGAGACAAGGCAGCACTCTACAGAGACGTTTAGGAGAAAAAGGTGGGAAATCCTCCTATTTAAAAACTACTAGATATTTATTATAACAAAAAGTACTATAGTACTACTAGTAAATATATATTTTTTTTTGAAATTCCTTTTAAATATTTTCATAATAAATACTTTTCGATGGTTTACAAAAAACTCAAGGTTTCTCTACCCAGAGTTTAGTTATTATTGGTACCTATTTCCTAGAAATCTCACAAAAATCGGACTATAAAAAAGGCACATAATTATAAAGTTTCATAAGAGTTATTGCTCCGCTGACAATAGCAAGAAATTTGTATTAATAATATGAATTCTGTTTTAATCCTAGAAGATATAATTTTAAAGATAATACAATAATTTTTTTATGTGCAAAGAGAATAAGTGACACTAGCCTTGGGTTAGCATACTTTTTGAAAAAATGGTCCGTTTAGTAAAAAAAATATAAAGTTTATTAAATTTTCTAAAAAAGGACATTTTCTAAAAAAAGGACAACTTTTAATAGGGAATTAACATTATTAAACATGCATTATTCTTTAAACGATTACCTACTATCAAGTTGTAGTAAATCTTTTTTTAACAAAATCAAAAAAATAATTTTGTAAATTAAACGTAATATAAAGCCGTAATGGACCTTTTCCATTATTCGAAAATTACTCATGCGCGAAAAAAGCGCGGAACTTTTGAATCTATGTAGTAATTTTCCACTTTTAGCGATCTCTCTCTTATCCTTTCAACTCAGGGCCGCCGAGAGCCATGGTGTAGCCCCGGGGGAAAACACTGGCAAGGTCCCCCCTCACATATTATAACCCATTTTTTTAAAGTAGCCGGGCCCATAAACATATTATCTAAGATAGACTCGCCCTTTACACTGTATAACCAATACACTTGTCCGCATGATATACCAGACAGGGAAAGGAGAATCGTACGTCGCACATAGACGTAGTGTTTCGGGAGGGTTTACACATATTTTTAATAAAAATTAATAAATAAAAATTAATAAAAAATGACCAAATAAATTACCTATGGGTCTTCGGAATCAAAGGTTAAAGAGAACATTCAATTTATAAAGGGCATTCAAAAAGTATTATAGATTAAAATAGTAGGTAGCTCAAAGTGGAAAAACATTTTTGTTAGTATTTTATTTATTTTTTTTTAATACATGAAGAGCAAATAAAAATATAAAGCCACTTATTATTATTTTTATATGGGTATTGTCAGAAATCCTTTTTTACAGGTCGAAAAAGAATAATTATATTGCGGAATACCTTTTTTTATGAAATAAAAAACTTATTTAAAAAATAAAACAATTTTATTTCAGATACATACAGTGAGCACCATAAGTCTTACCCCCCTATCTAAATCGTTACTGAAGTCTTGTTAGGACACGTCGATTTTTGATTTCTACAATGTACATTTTTGTATGAACAGTTTACCCTTAATTTCATCCCTTACTGGACGGGAGCAACCCTTCTAAAAATTTAAATGGCATGGGGTGGTGAGTTATAGCTCATTTGAAAGGGGGTTTCATTCTCTATTCAACCGTGCAAAAATTTTTAAAATTTACGTCATTACGTAATGAGTTATTAATGTTTAAAAATAACAAAATATCACAAACAGGAAAGCAAATAAACTAACATTGATCTTATCTATTGACAAAAAGTCTTACTTCACGTCTGAACCAAAACCGATATCATGCAGGGCCGAATTTTAATTCTAAGGATGAGTGCGCTACGTTAATTTTCGGTATTCTGAAACAAGAATTAGTCGAGAATTAATTAGGCAAATTTCAAAATTTTTTGCACGGTTGAATAGAAAATCAAACCCCCTTTCAAATGAGCTATCACTCGCCACCCCATTCTATTTAAATTTTTCGAAAGGATTGCTCCCCTCTAGTAAGGGATGAAATTAAGGGTAAACTATTCATACAAAAATGTATACTGTAGAAATCAAAACTCGACGTGTCTCGGCGATTTTCCTAACAAGACTCCAGTAACGAGTTAGATAGGGGGGTAAGACTTATGATGCTCACTGTATACAGTGAGCACCATAAGTCTTACCCCCCCCCTATCTAACTCATTACTGGAGTCTTGTTAGGAAAATTGCCGAGACAGGTCGATTTTTGATTTCTACAATGTACATTTTTTTATGGTTAGTTTACCCTTCATTTCATCCCTTACTGGAGGAGAGCAACCCTTTCGAAAAATTTAAATTGCATGGGGTGGTGTGTGATAGCTCATTTGAAAGGGGGTTTTATTCTCTATTCAACCGTGCAAAAAAATTTGAAATTTGCTTCATTACGTGTTGATTTATTAATGTTTAAAAATAACAAAACCTCACAAAATAGGAAAGCAACTAAACTAACAGTAACCTTCTAATATAATGGCAAAAAGTCTTACTTCACGTCTGAACCAAAACCGAAATCATGCAGGTCCGAATTTTAATTCTAAGGATGAGTGCGCTACGTTAATTTCCGTTATTCTGAAACAACAATTAGTCGAGAATTAATGAAGCAAATTTCAATTTTTTTTACACGGTTGAATAGAGAATAAAACTCTCTTTCAAATGAGCTATCTCTCACCACCCCATGCCATTTAAATTTTTCGAAAGGGTTGCTCCCCTCCAGTAAGGGATGAAATTGGGGGTAAACTATTCATACAAAATTGTACATTGTAGAAAACAAAAATCGACGTGTCTCGGCGATTTTCCTAACAAGACTCCAGTAATGAGTTAGATAGGGGGGGTAAGACTTATGGTGCTCACTGTATACAAATAGTATTTTTTCATTACATACCATTTGGGTTGCATGTCACGACACCTATTTTTAGCATTATTTGTATAATGGTATTATAACTCATTTAGGAGAGTAATCAGCAACGATTTTATAATATCTGGACAAGGCTAAAATACATTAGCTTAAGATTGTCAAGAGAGACTGTATTTCTAATTTGTCCGAATAGAAAAAAAAATTGAAGGAAGATTCTTTTGTGACATTTCGAATGTCATTTTACTATCAATGGTTACTCCTACAAACTCAAGGTGAAGAACCTGCTCAATAGATTTATTTAGTGTTATAAGATAACTGATATTTTGTGAAGCATATTTTGGGATAAAACACAAAATAGCTATTTGTGTGTTAAGAACAGAAAGTAGCACCTTTCGCAGTTGAGACAGAAAATTGCCGGGTGACGCGTTAGCGGAGCACGGCAATCTGTCCAAGAGAAAAGGTTTTAGTACTTATGTGTCGGTAATTATTTATGATTTATTCATTTAATTATTTACAGAAAATACTGTTAAATGATTTAAAATATTAGGAAGTCAATTTAATATTTTTGATTAGCTTACATTTTGTTTTAAAATACCGATTAGCTTTCATTTATTTCATTCAAATGAAAACAGAGAAGCGTGTGCGAAATTATGACAATTCGCGAAAAACGACAACTTTCTAATTACATTTGAATGTGGAAAAGCCAACTTTGGATAGTGATCGTAGAAAAAAAATTATTTTAGGGGTTAATTACTAGGCCATTGTCCGAACCCTGTGAATCTTTTGACTATCTCTTTACTTTTGTTTAATTCAGTTACTATATACTATTGTCTAGTGGTGGATTGTGGTAATTTAAAATGGGTGTTCACTTTTTTCCAATATTTTATCATTTTAAGTTCGGTTCAAAACTTTGTACAAGAGCCAATATCGCTGTTTTTTTTTATTATTTGAGTTTTTATAAAGTGTAGTTATTATTATCAACATCATATTGTTTTCAAGTACTACAAATTATAATTAATAAATATTTTAGTTAGTTTAATATTTGTTTTGTTTTTAATACATTGAAAACCATCTATAAACATTATTAGTTAGTAAACTGACTTTTCTTCATAATTTAAGATTATTTTTAAATATACAGGGTGTTCCATCTCAGACGAACCACCCCGTATATTTCTTATCCCATAGTAATTGGAAATATTTCCCGAAACACGTCGGATGATTTTCTTTGGGTTACATCTTTTGACGTATATTTGAGGCTTGAACGAGCAACCCCTTATGAGGGGGTGCTTCAACCCCTCAAAATTGAATAGGGAAGATGAGTTGGGTGACATGTCATTTGTAAGGTCTTGGAAGCCTCTTTATAACGGTGTATGAAAAAAATTACATTCCTAAAAAAAATTATTTACTGAACAACCAAATTGGGGTACATTATTATTTAAGTCCATTGGTTGTTGCACGAAGAACTGAATATCAATAATATGACGGTTTTCTAGATTCATTTCAGTGTACCTACTTATTTTTTGTAAAAGATCTTTTTCTGACTAAAATTTTACCTGTTTTTAAATTCACGGTTACCTGCTCATTATTGTCTGCCTGATATATTAATCATCCTATGTATGAAAAATCATCACTAATTTAGCAAAGTGGCGTATATGAGCAAAATAGCAATTTGAGTTTTATACACGTAAGGATTGCATTTGAAATGACATGGTCTCTTCAAGCGGCGTATTTCAATTCAAAACCGTTCAAAAGTTATACCATTTTTTTATTTTGGCGTACGTTTGAAAAAGCCTAACAGCTACTTCTCTAACGGGTGTATATCATAACTTGGAAAGGACCCCGCACTAATCTTATGGGAATTGGATCCCGGTCAAATTGGCTGAATTTTGGATATGTTGTTCATTTCGGCATCCTGAGCAAAAGTCTCCATGGAAACAAAGCTCAATTTTGCTTATTT